TTTTTTTTTTTTTTTTTTTTTTTCTTCTTTTTGAAAATATTGAAAAAAAATATATAATTGACATGTAATTATGCTCGTAAAAAGCAATTTTAGTTGATTAATTAATTGAATTCCAATTTGATTAGTAAAATCATTTCCTCTCAAATATCTCTACTTTGTATTAAAACTTTGAATATTAAAATTTTTTAAAATCTTAGATATTATTGAAACAAAATTTTCATCAAACTTAGAATAAAAAGTATTTTTTAAGGGTAAAGAATATTTTAAAAATATTTTTTATAGACAGTATTATTAGAACAAACTTAATAATGATAATTTCTTTTAATGTATTTAAAATATTAGAAATATATATATTTTTAATTTATTAAAGTTCAGAAGAAGAAGGAAAAAGGTGTGGAAGAATCCATAAAAAGAAGATGCAGTGTGGTTTTACATGGAACCAAAATTTGACGACATATAGAGGGCATAAAGGAATGATACCAAAGTTTATTCCCTATCAAATCATGCCGTACAGAATGATATAAGCACATGACACTACCATGCTTTTCAAATGCTTTAAAGCCAATTACCCATCTGAAAAGTCATTTGAAAAGTCATTCAAAATTTCATTACCCAACTAATAAAAGTGAGGCTAATAAAAGTGTGGAAACCTCAGTGGCAGAGGTATTCTAAAAACTTTGAGAGGAAGCTCAAAAAAGAAAGTCCTAAGATAATGATATCTACAATGGACTTGAGCCGTTACAAATTGTTTCAAAGCCAAACACCATGCAGTATGTCTGTGGTGAGGATCCTAGGCCCCAAAGGTTGGTAGGGAAGAGAACAAAAGTGTAAAAACCTTCTATTGACACACGGTTTTGAATCTTAAGGAAAAACTAAAAAAAAAAAAAAAGACTATCTTAGTAACAAGATTAGAATCACCAAATCCCATTTTTCACAGTTGCAACTTTGAAAAAGGAATCTTCTTGCAGTCCTCTATCTGCAAGCCTCCCTAGTCTCCCTGTACTCAAAATTCTATTTTATCGGTAGAGAGAGTTGGGGAGAGGAAGACGCAGGAATGACATAGAACATATATAATGCTTTAATAGAAACCCGAAACCCAAACCCGAAATCCAGACAAACGCATTTTTCATGTAAACAGGATGGATAAACACTTTAACAATTCAAGTCATTCCTCCTACAACCTATCAACCATCCATCCACTGAGAAGGGAAAGCTAGACCAAATAAGTCCAGACATCATCATACTCAAAATAAACCACACAATAATGGGGCATCAGAGAAGAGGGAAGGAGAAAAAGAAAAGAAAATAAAAAGGAACCCTCCTTATGCTAAACACTAAGGGCAATTGATTATCGAGTCACATCCATCCTCCCCAGAGTAGTACTGATTCTGCCACTTAGAATACTATCCGCTTCACTGCAGAGCATATGGAGAGTGATGGTCAAGTATAATTCAAACATCACTGACTAACTGCAACAAACGGTTCGATCTACTCACCTCATCGTCGCCACCAGCAACTTTGACGGTGCCGTTGACCTTTTGGGCATCATCTGTAGCAATAAGGAAACGCATGTCAAAACACAGAGAGGGAGGAGGGAGAGTTAATCTAATGAGATGGTGAATGGACGCTTATAATGAACTTTAGGATAAAATTAAGGTTAACTAACTCAGTCTTATCATTATCTGAATGCTTAAGATATCCTCAGTTCTTTCACATTCACCTCCTCCTTAACTACCCCAAAAGAGAATTCTTGCTACAACTACGAGTCTATATGGCTAGAATGTTTTCATTTGCAAACAAACAACAATGCAAGGATTATCTAACATAATTCACATGAGAATGCATTGGCCAAGATTTTTTGAAACCATGAAACAGGGCAACGCTGAAGAGGTGAGTACATTTCTCAGCAACCATAAAGATTACAGATATCAAACAAGCAAAATTCAAAATTCAAAATTCATTTAGTTCGTTCATAAGCTATGTGAACTCTCTTATTCTGCAAGAGGACAACACCCAATAATAGTTAGTTAGCTTAAATGATGCAGACCGGAGAACACCAAAAATAGATTATAGCATAACAGCCATACCTTTGTCTGGAAATAAAAATGCATAATAAGCATATAAAGAAGGTTTACAAAACCCCCAAAAAAAAGTGTAAACAATAAACCATTTCATATTGTATTGGCCAAGGCCAGTAAGGATTTATTACCTCCATCCTCTGGGATGTCAGAAGTCCATAATGTGAGGTTGTCTCTAAGAAGCTGCATGATTAAGGTGCTATCTTTGTAAGACTCCTCATTGAGGGTGTCAAGTTCGGAGATGGCTCCATCAAAAGCTTGCTTTGCAAGGTGGCAAGCCCTAAACAAGAAAAAGCACAATGTAGCTATCATTCGCACTAAGCTCCATAGAGAATAAATCTCTGCTAGATTTCCTGGTAACACTACGATAACCATACCTTTCAGGTGAATTCAGGATTTCATAATAGAAGACAGAGAAATTTAATGCCAAACCCAAGCGGATAGGATGTGTAGGAGGCAATTCAGATTCGGCTGAGCTAGTTGCAGCCTGTAATAGACAAGAAAAAAACAAGACAAATGTAAAAACTAGGCAATGTATAGGCAAAAGAGAGCTATATTGAACAATCGCTTCTCAATTAAAATGTTTGACCTATGAATTCCAAATAGTGTAATAAAAAAACCTTTTGACAAATAAGTTCCTGTAAACCTTATTGTGAACAAGTTTAACCAGGGAAAAAGAAAAGATTTGTCGTTGTATTTGCTTCTACAATCAGAAAAAGGAGTGACAGAAGCAAGAGAAAATATTGATGATAATTTCCTCTCAAAATGAAATTTTATCGATTATCATCCAGACTACTGCTAAAAGAATGTATTAAATAGTCATATTCCCAAGAAAAAAAAATGTATATATATTTATATGATAAACCAGACAAATCCAAAACATCTAAAAGCAAAATAAAAACTTGTTCAGTATAGTATAAAATGCAATACGTCAACATAATTTAGAGACAGAGAGACAGAAAGCTAAATAAGACATTTTTTAGAGAGAAAGCTAAGTACGATCTATATTCAATTCATGGGGAAAAAGAAGAATACAACAAGACAGAGTAAAAAAAGAATACAACAAGACAAAGAGAAGAAGGGGAAAATGTATATACCCACCTCATATGCTTTCATCGATTGATCAGCTGCATCTTTCTTCTCATTACCAGACTTAAATTCTGCAAGGTAACGATAATAATCTCCTTTCCTGTAATGAAGGATGATTAAATTTCACAAGTGTCCAATAGTCATGCACCTATGCATTAATGCATAAGCTAGAAGTATACTTACATCTTATAGTAGAACACTGTTGATTCCCCAGCTGAAGCAGAGGGAATTAGGTGTTCGTCAATCACTGTCATGATATCAGTACAAATACCAGAGAGCTCTGTTTCAACCTTTTGTCTGTACTCCTTGATGCGCTTGGCATTTGTTTCATTTCCTTTAGCTTCTTCTTTCTGCTCTATTGATGATAAAATCCTCCATGAGGCTCTCCTTGCACCAACCACATTCTTGTACCCAACAGAGAGTAAATTTCTTTCCTCCACTGTCAATTCGACATCAAGCTTTGCAACATTCTTCATTGCATCTACCATTTCTATAAAAGATATGAACAACGTAAATAAAAATCAGAACCATCACCCTATCATCCAAACCAACCACAATCTGAGTTTTTCTGCCGAGACAAGCAAAGAAAGTACAGGAAGAAACATCAATTTGCTTTGCGCTTACAGATAAAATGATGTCCAAGTTGTCTGTGTAAGTAAAATTGAAGCATAAGCTATCAAGCTAACGAGTGATGATCGAAAGACTTGCAAAAAAGAGTATTTTCTATTAAATCGAACCAAAGAGACAGAAAACCATATAAAACGATAAATCAAGAGAAAAATATTTCTCGAGAAGCAAAATCGAAGAAATGTACCAGAATTTTAGGCAAATTAAATTTCCTCAAGTTTCAAACAGATCGTGTAAACTGAAAAACACAACACTCAAAAGAACAAAAACTTCGGAAAAACTACAACACAGACAAGCGATCGCGCTTCAAATCCGAGCACAAAAGGCATAAACACAGAGTCAAACAAAATTAAGCATATCACACAACCACAGATAAATGCGATCTAAGCAGAGAGTCAAAAGTAAGACAAAAACAACAAAGCTTCATACAAATCAAATAAAAATCAAAGAAGATAAGGAGATGCCGCAAACCATCATAACGCTCGGCCTGCTCGGCGAGCTTGGCGATGTAAACGAAGTTCTCGCGCTCTCTGGATGAAGCCATAACCGATCTGAGACCAAAGAATTAGGGTTTTCTGTACAGTGTGGGTTTTTTTGGTGGTTCTGGCTCCAGAAAGAGAGAGGCAGAGTCAGACCCACGAAACTGGAGAAACCAACAAAATAAGGAGAATATGAACCCTCAAATTGCTCTAATGGTTACTTATATATATTTTTTAAAATATATATTATTATTATTATTATTAAATAAAAGTCTTTTATATTTGTTCTTCTTCTCTGTTCAAAAAGATTCTGGTCTCTCAAAATTGACATCTAAATTAACCGCGTATTAGAGATAATTCGTGGAAATGTATACCCAATAATATCACGCCACGTGTCACTACTTCTTTTTCTTTTTTTTTTTTGGCTAATTATGAAAGAGAAGAGTCCTTGGTCATGCCACGTGTACACCTAATTGCC